ACTTGGGAATGCTGAGTGTGGGAGAAGGAGTATTTCCCAGAAGAGAGTTCACAGATTGGTTTGCAAATACCAAATGGTCAGCTGAGAAACCTATAGAAAACCTACATTATACAAAATTACCAGATGGTGTTATTTTTTAAGAAGTATATATGTATATACAAATACGTAAAAACCATAAATGAAGAAAAAGAATGCAAATTTGAAGACATCTATATTACAATGGAATTTATATTTAAGCATAATGAATGGAATCATGTAATTTACTGACTCTATATGGTACTAAAGATCATCATACAAAATGAAATATTCTGGACTAAAAAGATAATATCACTTTCTTATCATATATGAAATATAATATGCATATGTATCCATATGACAGATTTATGACTTATATAGTATGTGTATGAAATAAAAGGAAGGGCTAGAGAGGAAGACAAAGTGACTAAAGAACAAAACACTAGAAATGAAAAGAATGTTTGTCAAAGTACAGAAGATACTTTCATACATTGAATGAAAATGTTATTGTGAATTCTGTTTCTGAAATAAACATATGCTAAGTATGTTTACATTATATAATTTAAATAATAAAAACATAACAGTGAAAAAAAAAAACTTTGTGATATCAATAAAGGAATAGACAAGGATTAAACAAAAGACAATAGGCCAAAACAATTTACACAGGAGATAACTTATCTTTAGTAAATTCACTGATTGATTAGTGACAAATACAATGCTTCACAATTAACTCCTTACTTACGAAAACAAAGCAAAATGTAGAGTGGTAGATTTAAAGATCTTTATTCTCAGGTCAACACTAGCTTGATTTTCAATGTTCTTTGGCTCTAGAATGAGGTCCTTCACCATTGGGGCCTTACCATCAGGTTCTACTTGGGAACCCAGAACAATGGGTATTATCTATGAGTCTATGGAGTCTCACTGATCAAAACCTTCAATGAGGGTAATTTTTTTCCTGGAATCTGGCTTTTTGTTTGATAGCTTATGTTTAACACAGTTTGCACATTATATAGTAACTCATTTAAACTCCTTTCATATTTGTATATGATGTAGAAAAATCATCACTACTGTCTAGTGGGCAACATTGTTTGTTTTGTATGACTCTGATTAAGGTAGCTGTCACCACTACTCAGGGTCTCTTAAGGTATTATGTATGCTTTTAGAAGGGAAAAGTGATCATCTATCTGTGAATTTTGGAAACTACAGCTACAACCAGCCTGACAAAACAAGGCCACTGGTGCAATAACAAGCTAAACATCCTGGGAGTAAGAAACAACTTTCTGAGTGGATTTAAGTCCCACTAAAAGGTAGAACTTATACCTGGAATTATAATCAGGGTCAAGATCTTGTGGTTACATAGGTCATAGAGGAGAGAGACATAGGTCCTACCAGGAGACAGTCAACTACTATTACCTTAAAAAGATTCAGTGCTTTACTGACTCCCAAAGAGACAAGTTGGTTTTATTTTTTTAAACCCTGAGTGACAATGCAGAGGCCCCAACTATTCAAGATGAAAAGGCGAAGAGATTGCAGAATGCTCACTCCTGAATGAGACCTTTTTTTTTTTTTTTTTTTTTTTTACATCCTCCCCATCCAAGACTCAGGAATCACTGCAAAACTGGGGCCAAAAATATTTTAATGACCAGAAGTGGTGGAGGAATTCAAGAAAGTAGTGTTATCCAGAAAAAAAAAAAATGGGCAATGACATATAAGGACTCAAATACTTGTGACAACAGACACAAGACATGTGCACGTTCAAGCCAGACAAAATGACAGCAAGAATGCATCGCATGGGGGTGAATACAGTGTCTCACAATCACCTAAGGTGCTACTAGCAATTGAAAGCTGCCGGGAATAGGAGACTTGGTTTCTTTGAAGGTGTATCTCCTACTATGTGAAGCACGACACACCTCCAAAACTATGTACTGGACCTGCTGGGTGAAAAGAAAAAGGAGAGCCCAAAGTTGGTGGTTATGGAATGAAGGGTCAGACTGTGAGAAGGAGGGGCAGAGGTGAATGTGATCAAAACGCGATGTATACAATTCAAGGACCTGACCAAAATACATTTTAAAGGATCCTCTCTGTCCAAGGGATTTATTTCTTGGATTCTAATAACGGAAAAGCCACAGGAAAAAAAGGATAAACTGAGAAGGAACAACTATTTCTCCAGCTGTAAAGTGATGCTGCTGTAAAAGAAACATATGAAACTTATTGATGAATTCGTGGGAATACAGAGCAATGTGAGTCAGTCACAGACTGCTGCTTACTGTGTTATAGACATGGAGATAGCCAAGAGTCCCGGTCAATAAAGTTCTATGAGTTACAAAAGCAAACTTTTCTGAACTGCATGCAATAAAAACAGTGACAACATTGTTGCCCAGATCCTTGTTTACTTTATTTAACTCTGATTAAGGTAGGTATTGAGCCATAGGGCAAAGTCAGTAAATGTGGTGGGAATGGAATGTTTCTGTGCAGGGAAAGAGGTGAGGCTCCAAAGGTGCAGGCTCGAGTCATCATGTACCACCTTCACTCTCTGGCTTTGTTAAGGTTGTAAATCTACAAAGCCCAGATTCTCATATGCAAATGGAAAGAAACTTGAACAAATGTGAAGAAATTCAAAAAGTGAAAATTGACAGAATCAATTCAGTAATGATTTCAGTAATTCAGTAAACATTTCCATAATTATTAAAATGTGATGACCTACCCACCCCCGAAGGAGAAGTAGCCTTGCTAGGCCACAGAGTAGGACATTGCAGCCAGTCCTGATGAGACCTGATAAACTAGGATCAGCTGGAAGGGGAAGAGGACCTCCCCTACCAGTGGACTTAGAGAGGAGCAGGGAAGAGATGAGGGAGGGAGGGTCGGATTGGGAGGGAATGATGAAGGGGGCTACAGCTGGGATACAAAGTAAATAACCTATGATTAATATAAAAATAAAAACTATAAAAAAGGACTCTCTGGAAAGGAGATTAGTAATGGCTGGTGGGTCATGAATATAACAGTTTAAGTGTCACTTTGAGTTTGTCTTGTAGGAGTTGTGAAATCTCATTTCTTTAAATAAGCAATCAAAGGTAAAAAAAATGTGATGTAAGCAAATATCAAGAAGAGAGTTTCCCATATTAAAGTTTATGAGAAACTGTTTAGTCAAATCAGAACAAACATAACATCTTTACAGGGGGATACTTTGGTTGAAAATGGCATTGCCACTCAAATAATAAACGTCATTCTTCTGGTGATCAAGATCCTTTGATAACTGTCTCCAGCCATTTAGTTCTGCATACCTTGGTCCTTTTATAGTAATATTTTAATGTCCATAGCACTCATTCTCTATGACCACAGAAAATGCTCCATGTTTAACAAACTTTCATTACAGTATACCAATTGTTTCTGATTCTGAAAAAGAAACAACAGCAATGTCTCTGGTGATGTTTCAAAGACTAGAAGATACACTTCTTCAAAAGCTTTCATGTACTATCTTCTGCTCAGTTATGGTGGAACAACCTTACTTCTGAAATGATCAGACATGGAGAATCTTAATACTTTGAGAAGCTGTGGCAAATCCAAAGCAAGCACCTGTAACCATGAAATAATTACATTCAATTCTGAGTTCTTCCAGCTATGAGCTGGTAGATACTGGCAGTCCTTCTGTTATTGTGTTACCAATAGAAAACTACAGAAATCTGTATCTTCCACAATGGGTTTCCACAGAAGTAAAAGACATATAGCCTTCTCGAGGTAAAAATTCAATATATTTTTTCCACTTTCTTTATATTATTATTATTAATTACAATTTTTTTCACTTTGTATTCCAACTGAAGCCCCTCCCTAATCTCCCGGTCCCACCCTCTCTCCTGCATCCTCCCACTCATATCCTTCCCCTAGTCCACTGATATGAGAGGTCCTGCTGCATTACTATCTGACCCACGCCCATCAGGTCTCATCAGAATTATCCGGATCATCTTCCTCTGTGGCCTATTAAAGCCACATCACCCGGGGGAGGTGAACAAAGAGTAGGCAACCAAGTCCATGGCCGTGACTGCACCTGCTCCCCTTACTCTGATCCACAGAGACTGAGCTGTTCATGGACTACATCTGAGCAGGGTGTCTAGGTTCTTTTCATGCTTGGCCCTTAGTTGATTCATCATTCTCTGCAGGCACCCCTGGGCCCAGAATTCTTGGTTCTGTTGGTCTCCTTGTGGAACTTCTGTCCCCTCCAGGTCTTTCTATCTCCCCCTTCTTTCATAAGATTCCCTGCACTCTGCTCAAAGTTTGGCTCTGAGTCTCAGCATCTGCTTTGTTATCCTGCTGGGTAGAGTCTTTAAGGGGCCCTCTGTGGAAGGCTCCTGCCCTGTTCCCTGTCATCTCCTACTTCCGGTGTCTATCCTGTTTGCCCTTCTGAGTGAGGATTAAGCATCTTCCCTAGGGTACTCTTTGCTGTTTAGCTTCCTTGGGACTATAGATTTTAGTATGTTTATCCTATATTATATAGCTGATATCACTTTTAAGTGAGTATATGCCATGTGTGTTTCTGCTTCTGGGTTACCTCACTCAGGATGATCTTTTCTAGTTCTACCTATTTGCCTATAAATTTCATAATTTCCTTATTTTTAATTGCTAAGTAGTATTCCATTGTGTAAATGTACCACAATTTCTTTATTCTTTCCTCTGTCGAGGGATATCTAGGTTGTTTCCAGATTCTGGCCATTATGAATAAAGCTGCGCATGAGCATAGCTGAGCAAATGTCTATGTTGTATGGTTGAGCATCTTATGCTCAGGAGCGGTATAGCTGGATCTTGAGGTAGCACTATTCCTAATTGTGAGAACGTGCCAGACTGATTTCCAAAGAGGTGGACATAGGTACTTGTTTGTCTTATCATTGGAACAAAGTCTTCTTGGAAGAGAGATGAAACAGTGTCTAGTAAATTAACCAAACATGCCCCAAAGTGCAACATGTTGGATCTGTGGCAACATTATAAAAGCTCTGTGCTGCCTGATCATAGCTGGGTCAGTTACGAGAGTCTCCATGGATCCAGTCCTGGTTTTGGTGCTCAGTCTGTCCTGTCTGCTTCTCCTCTCACTCTGGAAACAGAGCTCTGGGAGAGGGAAGCTCCCTCCAGGCCCCACTCCTCTCCCAATTATTGGCAATTTCTTCCAGATAGATGTGAAGTATATTCAACAATCCTTAACCAATGTAAGTATGCTTTATGCTTTTCTAGTAGTCTGTTAAGGAGATACAAGTCCTGCTGCTTGCAATGAAATCCTATTAATGGAGACAATATTGTAAAAAATGCTCATAAAGTGAAAAAACTGTAAAGTTTTCTGCCATTTCTGTCCTTTGTTTCTAGTCCTGGCTAAGAAAGTAGTACGGAGCAAGGTTTCAGGTTGAGGAACATCTAAGTCATTGCATTTTATAATATAATCACAGAAATTTGAAGTTATGTGTCTTCAAATCCTTTTTTTATTAACTTTCCATTATTTGGCTGAAGGTAAGGAATGAGGAATATTCCAACCAATGATTCAGAATTTTAGACATGCCTTGTTCTCTGAAGAACTAAGTGTTCCCTGATATGAAGTAAAACCTATGGGCATGGGCTCACACAGGAAATTACAGCAACAGTGTGTCAGAGCATATATATGCTGGCTTCCCAATCTGCTTTTATTACTTGCAAAGCCTGTCCCTTGGTCCCTAGTACACTTCAAGCTGCATTCTGTGGTGCAGCTTCTATGGTGCCTGCTCTGTGTAATTTTGAAACAATTGACAAAAAATTGGATGGATTCATTTGTGATGACCAAAATTTCAGATTTCTATTCTCATCACAGGGCTCTATAGTTCCACAAGAGGAGTTTCACATCTGATCCTGCAGCAGTCATATGACTAACTTAATTAAATATTTATTTTTATATTAATTACAGTTTATGCACTTTGTATTCCAGCTGTAGCCCCTTCCCTCCTCCCCTCCCAATCCCATCCTCCCTCCCTCATCTCCTCCAATGCCGCTCACCAAGTGTCATATGACTATTGATTTCTCTTTCAGTATGGAATGTGCATGAGTGTGATGCTCAAGCATCCAGTAGTGAATAAGGAGAGTGCCAAGTAGGAGTCTTTGCTTGTTTGCTATTGGGCCTACAGTTCCTTTGTGAAATAAGACCAAGAGACCTGCTAAATATCTTAGTGTGATATTTCATTGTCATCAGTATACAACCACTTGTGTGATTTCCTGTCACACTAGAGGTCCTCCACATGTGATAATCCTAAAAAGTCAAGGTATATACACTTCAAACTGAGTTTTTTGATAAAAATATCATAACAATAATATTAGCAGTCTAAAAGTGGTTGCAACCCTACAGAATAAGGTGATCTTTTTAATATGCATATTTTCTTTCTCTTTCAGTTATCAAAAGTCTATGGCCCTGTGTTCACACTGTATATGGGCATGAAGCCCACTGTGGTGTTGCATGGCTATGAGGCAGTGAAAGAAGCTCTGGCTGACCATGGGGAGGAGTTTTCTGGAAGAGGAAGGCTTCCAATTTTTGACAAAGTTGTTAAGGGCCTGGGTAAGTGTACGTGTGCTTATGTGAGTGCTGGACGGTATCCATTGTCAGCTGGAACGTGGAAAGCAGAGACCGTCCTCGCTCCCTAAATACATTTGGGGACTTTATGGCTGCCACCAGCCATCTCCTTCTTCTGTCTCTGGGATGTACTCGCTATTGTCTCTTCCCATTGTTTTAGGTGTTGTTTTTAGCAGCGGAAATATATGGAAAGATACAAGGCGCTTCTCACTCATGACCCTGAGGAATTTGGGCATGGGGAAAAGGAGCATTGAGGACCGCGTTCAAGAGGAGGCACAGTGCCTTGTGGAGGAACTGAGAAAAACCAAAGGCAAGTGCAGGTTTAGAATCTGACGTTTACTTCTTGATCTACGTATGGGTGTATGAGTCATTTTGTTCCTTTCTATTTAAAGGATTTTTTTTCCTAATGAGTTTATAGGTCTCATGTTAAAGTTCCAAAGCAATACCAATCCATGCATTTCCCTTAGCACAAATGTAGATCAAAACTTCTCAATTATCTTATCAGATTACCAAGAAAAAAATGTCTTCCATGTATATTTTCATGGCATTTTACAACTGTTTCCAATTCTTCAGGCTCACCCTGTGACCCCACCTTCATCCTGGGCTGTGCTCCCTGCAATGTCATCTGCTCCATTATTTTCCAGAATCGTTTTGATTATAAAGATCAGGATTTTCTTAACTTGATGGAAAAACTGAGTGAGAACACCAAGATTCTGAGCTCCCCCTGGTTGCAGGTGAAGTCACAATCTGTTCTTTCTGAAAACACACTTAGGGTCTTTGTTTCTCACAGGTCAAAATCAATAGGGACCAAGTAAGTAGTGAGGTGACCAGAGATCACAGTTCTGACTAATGTGTTATGGAAACTAATATCTGGAAGGAAGATCTAAACTCTTTGCTATTCAAATAAAAAATTAAAAAAAAACAGAAGGAAAAATGCCAGGACAGTTTTAACCTGCTAGCTTCCTTTCATTGACCTCACCTCTACCATCCACAGGGCTCTGTGGTAGAGTAATGAATTCACTTCTAGAAAGCTGGCCAGTCACTCATAGAACATCCTCCTACTATGCAAGCTTATTGGCCTCTTTTCAACAGTTACTTACATCCTCATCATACTACCAGGAAGGAATATCTTAGTATAGAAAGACTATTCTCTTCAGGAAGAAAGAGTATATATGGCAATGAAAGCTGCCAGGAAATATTCAGTTGTTTCCAGTGGTTTGGTTCATCAGCTAGAATCCTAGGTGACAGGCTAACAGGAAGAAGTGACAAGGTGAATGATTTCATTGTGTGGATCAGAAACATCCTCCCAGGATTTTATTAGGTTGCACTGTCCTTTTGTGCACATTTTATAAAGCACATGAAGTGTGCACAAAAGGCCAATTGGATATGCAATTTATACTCGTTCTGTGTAGAAAGATGCTTGATCGGAATAAAATCTTCAGGCAGCAAATTTTATGGGTAAATCAGGTCACTCAACCATCTTAACTTCAAATGTCATCTGAAAAGTGTGAGTGTAAGTAATTTACATTATATGGTATTTCAAACTTGTAGAACAGAGTTTATTTGAGCTATCAAAGAACTGACACGTACATACTTTACATTGAAAAGATATTTGAATGTGGAAATCTTACTAATTACTTACTAATTACTATTATTATTACCAAACAATCTTTGATTATTTGGGTAGAAATTTCCCCTCAAATTTCTCTATTAGAATAGTGTTTCAATTTATGCACATAGACCATCTCCTTAAGATGAATTTCATATGTATCTTGACCTATCACTGCAAATCAGTCATATGACATAATCAGTGATATGATATAAATATATCTTAATGACTTCGTTACAGTGTATTTATTTACTAAATTCTTGCATTTCCTTGTAGGTTTGCAATACATTCCCCGTTCTGCTTGACTTTTGTCCAGGAAGTCATAAAAAAATTTTTAAAAATTATGCTTATATTAAAAGTTACTTTTTGGAGAAAATAAAAGAACATCAAGAATCATTGGATGTTACAAATCCTCGGGACTTTATTGATTATTTCCTTATTAAACGAAGGCAGGTAAAGAGTTAATATACATTTATGCAATTACTGAGTTGATTGAGTTCTTTATAGTTCACTGAATACTTACTAGTTTACCAGTGATGT